TTCAGGCCAAGATCCTAGGGTCCTGGAATCGGGCTTCCTGCTCAGCAGAGCATCTGCTTCTCCCTCAACCCCTTCCCCTGCTCACGCTTTCTCTCTTTCAAATAAATAAAATCTTAGAGGGATCCCTGGGTGGCTCAGCGGTTTAGCGCCTGCCTTTGGCCCAGGGCGCGATCCTGGAGACCCGGGATCGAATCCCACGTCATGCTCCCGGTGCATGGAGCCTGCTTCTCCCTCTGCCTGTGTCTCTGCCTCTCTCTCTCTCTGTGTGACTATCATAAAAATAAAAAAAATTAAAAAAAAATTAATATTAAAAAAAATAAAATAAAATAAAATCTTAGAAAACAAAAACAAAAAAAACCCCCACTGTTTCTAGAAGGGATGCCAGATCTTCCTTCCAACCAACATCTATTTACTGTTATCAACTATTACCAAGGGACTGTGAGGATATGAAAACTAGATGAAATCTTTGCCCTCCTAGAGCTATTGTCTAGTGGGAGTAATCAATATTAATCAAATAATCACACAAATAAATGTAAAATTGCAAATGTGGTACTCTTCAAAGGAGCGGAATGTTCTAGGACAGTCTATGACAGTGGGATTTGAACTGTTAGAAAGTCATGCTTAAGTGCAAAGACACCTGAACTGATGTTAATGGAGTGAAACGGGATGAGAAGAGCACTGTAAAAGAAGGGACGTAGACTGTGCACAGGCTGCAGGAAAGGGAGGCCCAATAAATATCAGGTACTGAAAGGCCAGGGTTGCTGAAGCAGTGAGAGCCAAGTGTGATGTAAAGCCAACAAATTACGTGGGAGCCAGGTTGTATAGGTCATAGTAAAGCACCATCTTACTCTAAGAGCCAAGGGAAAGCAATAAAGTTTTACAAAGAGGGTGATTTACTCTTTGCAATGATCATTCTGGCAGATTGGATGTAGACAGGAAACCAGGGGAGAGAGGGTGTAGGATGAACTTTCATGTAGCAGTAGTGGCAAGTGCAGCAGGATAGGAGCTTTGCTGGATGCTATTTTGATCCTGAGAAAGTCAGAGACTCATTTTCATTTTTAGTTATTTCAATGGTTTTAATTTCTGGAGCAAAAAATAAAATAAATGAACAAATCCCAAGAGGCTGTCATGTGTAGAGATCCTATGAAGATAGCTTAAAGGAACCTCAGCTAATTCAATCACAGTCCCCATGGGCATATATCACTTGGCTACATCAGGATTTGGAGCAGCTGTAGTACTGTTTTTCACAGTAACTAAAAGTAACCAATAAATGGCAATAGCAGTGCCATGCAAACACTGATTTGGTGGCAAGGTCTATGGCTGATATTGCCAGACAAAAGTGCTTGTCATGTTTATCATGCAATCTACAGAACTATCAGAATTCACCATTTGCAGAATGAATGAATGCTTGCCTCTGATTCACTATTTTTAATAGATCTCATGCTCATTACAAAAAATTCAAATACATAAAAATGTAAATATGAATGTAAAAACAACAAAAATCCTAACAATTAGAGATAACATTGGTAACATTTTGAACATTCCTCCAGACATTCGTCTATGCACGTACACATGTATACATATGTGTAATATGAAAGAATATTTGTTTTATTTTTTAAAAAGATTATTTATTTATTCATGAGATAGAAAGAGAGAGAGAGAGAGAGAGAGAGAGAGAGAGAGGCAGAGACACAGGCAGAGGGAGAAGCAAGCTCCATGCAGGGAGCCCGACATGGGACTTGATCCTGGGACTCCAGGATCAGGCCCTGGGCTGAAGGTGGCGCTAAACCACTGAGCCACCTGGGCAGCCCAGAATATTTGTTTTAAAGAAAAAAATGTTATGGTGAGCAATGGAAATACAGTTCAGCTTAAATTTTTTTTTTTTAAGTAGGCTCCACGCCCAGTGTGGAGTCCAACATGGGGCTTGAACTCATGACCCTGAGATCAAGAAGTGAGGGGAGATCAAGAGTCAGAAGCTTAGCGGACTGGCTGCCCCAGCTAATAGGATTTTAAAGAGAAGGACAGGCAATTAAACCTACAAGTTGTGCTCAATTCTATGAGAACATAAATAGAGAGTACCTGAGAGCACTGTATCAGTTCTAGGGGAGTGAGGACAAGGAAAATGTCCTGGAAGAAATGGTGTTTAAGCTAAGGGGGAAGGATAGGTAGGACACATACAAGTGAACTAAAACAGAGGAGAGTCCCAGGCAGAGCACATCACGTAGAAAGCCTGAACACACTCAAGGGACCTGAGTGTGATGGGAGTGTGGAGGGTGAGTGAGTGTGAGAAATGTGGGCAAATCATCAGAGAGCAGGCATCAAAGAATCTAGATTTTGTTCTATGGGCACTGAAAGGTTTAAACAACTAAGTTATATGGTGTTTTGGAAGGACCACTCTGATTACAATATGAAAAATATACTAGAAAAGTCAAGGCTGAAATAAAAGTTAGATCTCTATATAAGCAGAGATATAAATGATCATTTCTAACATTTGTATGGATGTACCATGAAGGCTCTGTGAGGCCTTGGACTATCTGTCCTCTTCTATTCTCTATCTCCAGAGTCCAAGACAGCACCCAGCAGATAATATTAACTTGAAAAATAATTATTAGTTATTAAAAATAAGCTATTATGTTTAATGAGTATCTACTATATACCAAGAACTGTGTTAAGTACATATTGTATTTAGTTCTCAGAGCTCTACCATCTTATATTGCTAAAGAGCAAACACTAAAATTCAGTTTTTTTATATTTATATATTTTTTATTGAAGTTTGATTTGTCAAAATATAGTATAACACCCAGTGCTCATCCCGTCAAGTCCCCCCCCCATCAGTGCCTGTCACCTAGTCACCCCAACCCCCCGCCCACCTCCCCTTCCACTACCCGTTGTTCGTTTCCCAGAGTTAGGAGTCTCTCATGTTCTGTCTCCCTCTCTAATTTTTCCCACTCATAAGATTCAGTGTTTATACTTGTCCAAGATTAGTCTCTTAGCTAGATAGTAGGGGAGTGGGATTAATCCCCATCTACAGGGCCATTTAACCACTTATCCCAGTCAAATGACTGATATTTTAATCAATTACAAACTGATTAATATATTCAAGTTATTTCTAATTTTTGCTATTACAAATAATATGATGAATCTTTCCAAACATGTCTGAAGATTTTCACCTACTACCCCGTAAGCATAAAATTTTAAGATACTGTAATGGTGAACCACAGGGCAGATATAAAATTGCTCTTTGGAAAGCTTCCATTTCAACTAAAAAGAGAATATAGGAATGCCTGTCAACCTACCATTACCAATACTGAATGTCATTGATCTCTGCTTACTCAATGGCATACAAAAAGAAAAAATATATATCATTTTGGCTGTAGTTTGTATTTACAAATCATTACTAATAAAATTATCACCTTTCCATATGTTTAAAAGTCATTCTATTTTTCCTTTTAGTTCCTGTTCATGTCATGTCATTAGTTTATGTTTTAATGATCTTTAGTTAATTTACAAGCTTCATGTATTTGGAAATGCAACTTTTTCCTTATTATAAATATTTGTAGATAATGAGATCTTAGTTTTTGTTTGTCTTGTAACCTTGCCGTGACTTTAGGATGTACTTAAGTTTTACATTTTTATGTGAAAGCTGCTGATTTTTTCTTTTAAGTTTTCCCACTCACCTCCTGATTATAAAAATTATATCCATATTTTTCTAATCTTTTTATATTTAATAGTTTACATTTTGACATTAAATCTAATCTCAGAATTAATTCTGATGTAAAAAGTGTGATAAGGATTCAATTATTATTTTTTAAATGGATAGCCAGTTTACTGGATCAGTGAGACTTTAAAATACATAATAAGTGGGATATGACCCAAAGCATTAATAGTTGGTCTAATCCTAGCAAATAGCTTTTTTCTGTCAAGAACACTTTTCTTTTCTTAGGAAAACATAAACTTCCCTCTAAAGGTAGAAAAGAAATAACTCAAATATGCTAAATATAATTTCTTTTGCCCCAACTTACCAATCTGTAACCAGAGTTTTCCCCAGTATAATGCTAACTAGTAATACTAAAATGAAATATCTTTTTTAACTCACTAAAATAAATTTAAATACTCAACTATGAGACATTTTAAGCTTTAAATTTTAATCCATGCTCTTTTAAAAATATATATTATCATCAAAAATAACCTAGACTCTGCAGTACAGGAATATTTTATATCAATAGTGGGGAAGTTATCTTTAAAAACTTAGTAAAATTCTATTTTAAAAAATCATTTACAATATAAAAATATTGGAAAAAATATGGAGAAGATCAAACACCCCCCAAAAATTCTGTCATATTATGATGCATTCAGATAAAACTTTAACAGAAGACTAATGCAGAAAAACAAGATAACAGTGCTACATTTAAAAAAAAAAATCAAGTTGACTTCCACAATTTTGCTAAAAACCATGTGATAATGATTAAACAATCAGGCTATGTCTCTACTTTTTAGGAGCATTAGTATCATTGTTTTCAATTACAAAATTTGGATTTCTAGATTTACATAGCCTTGAAGTACAACAGAAAACAAAAATGATAACAAAGTCCTTATGATTACTTTTAAAAACATAAAAATGTCTTTGCAAAGAATGCCTTAGAGAAAGAGCAAATCTGTTCAATGCAAGCAATAATAACTAGGTCAAATCATACATATAACCAAAATGCAGCTTAGCATTTATTTTTCAAAAAGCCCTCTACTCACGCTTATCATTTAAGCCTAAACAGAAACACACAATTTAGAGCTAGAAAACATACTTAGACAATCTGAAAGCATTATTGTTAGATGTAATAAAAATGACACAGCAATCTGGCACTGAACGCTTCTGGAGATAACCACTCAGGACTAAGGAAATTGGTAAGATTCACAGATCACTCTGAGGACTATCTCACACCATATTCCTTTAAAAATATTTAAATAGCTAACTAAAAAGAAAACCAGTGAGATGATGTATTTACCTGAGCACTACCAGAAGTTGCCATGTTGATTTCTCCCACTCCTTGACCTTCATTCTGCCGCTCAGCTTCATGTGAGCCGGCTTCATGCTTGCTCTGAGATGATCTCTGTTAATACGGAGTTAACATCATTACATACAAAAATGGTGAATGCTGTCTTAGCCCACAGCTTTTTTCCTTTCCTGTATTAAAGCTTTGGATGCATCAATTATATAGGTTTACAAAAGCTCGGAGCTGCACTTTATAACCTCCAGCATGGTTGGCAGTTGACTATTTCAGTGAAAGGAAAGTGAAGTATGTCCCTTGAGCATTAGAGCTGCACAAGACAAAGGATTTCCTGAGACTCACAGAAACACCATCTTCCACCAGCTGTGCTCACATCACTATCAGGGGTATAACCCAACTACAACAAATAATTGTCTCTTTCGCAAGGTCACATGGTTCTGGCATTTAATGGTGTTGCAAATGTAACAGTTAAACCATTACCTAAGCTTACAAATACATTCTGTATATTTATACAAAGAATATATATATATATATATATATATATATACATCTTCTGCTAATAAAAGTCATATGAAATCAATAAGCTCTCAGATTCTGATATGAATAAAACCAAAAACCCTTTCTAATGTAACCACCATCTGTTATATGAAATGAAAATGATAGATTATATCCAGTGAAAGCAGGCATCTCAGGATAGATTATAACCCAGTATAAAGCAGTCACTCTATAAAAATACCACTGCAGTATCAAAATAGTAAAATAATTTTCCATTATCTTTTATGGAAACACAAATGTGCTTGCTCTAGGAAAAGGATACTCAAAAATAAAAATTACACTTTAAAATACGTGACATGTTTTATAATGGATAATTAGATTATAAAATGGCTTCCACTGGGACTTCTTTAAACATCAAACTTTCCTAGGCCATTTAAAATGTGACTTAGAAGTTAATTTGTATGCAATATTTCCATCAGTAAACTAGTATAAGTTATATATAGGCAAAAATGAAGTAGGCCCAATAATTCAGAAATAGAAGAAAAAACGGTATCATCTGAAAATCACACTATAAAATTCAACAAATTCAATCAAAGTAGACACATTACAAAATCAACAGAGACAAAATGAATTAAAAACCCACTAAAAACACAGATTTGAAACAATTAAGGATGTCAATGTAAAAGTAATTACTGAGCATCTGTTATGTTAATTACTTGTACAGCACAGAATACAGTGTTGGCAACACATGACACGGTTCTACATGCTCCTCAAGCTCACAGTCTCATCAGGCATACTATCAAATAATGAGAAAACAATAAAGTTAAAAAACTTTGATAAGCACACTGAAAAAAAGAGTATAAGGTGCTGTGAGACTATACAAGCAGAGGGGGGATATCACATGGCCTAAGAGTTTGGGAAACAGCCCTCTTAGGAAGTGCTGTTTAAACTGAGATCTAGGGGATCCCTGGGTAGCTCAGCGGTTTAGCACCTGCCTTTGGCCCAGGACATGATCCTGGGGACCCGGGATCGAGTCCCGCATCGAACTCCCTGCATGGAGCCTGCTCCTCCCTCTGCCTGTGTCTCTGCCTCTCTCTCTGTGTGTGTCTCTCATGAATAAATAAATAAAATCTTAAAAAAAATAAATAACTGAGATCTAAAGAATAAGAGTTCTGGGAAAAGGGAAAAGGTTAGGGGAAGGTTTTAGGTAAACAGATCATATGCAAAGGACCTGGGGTACGAGGGGGGCGGTTTGTTCTAGTATATCAGAAAAATCATGGTGCAGAGAGTAGAAAAAAAGATGGTAACAAAAAAAAAAATCTTACTGATTTTGTTGAATTTTAGTGTGATTCTCATAGGTCACTCCTGCCCTCACATAACAAATACCAGACTATTAATGGGAAAAGTTCACGTAAATTGATTTTTTAAGGTCAAATTTTAATTTTAAATGTCTAAGCAAGTAAGAAACATAGAGCAGGCCAGTTTGGAAGCTAATGTATTAATTTAAGCATGAGATGATGGTACTTGAAACTACACAAGCAGCGACAGGGATAAAAGAATTAGGGACAAAGAGGTAAATCTGAAGGACTTGATATTACTGGATATGGAGAGAAGATCTGGTATCAAGAATTACTCCTACATTCCTTAGCTCACACAACTAAATAATGATGGTGCCACTTGCAAAGAAGATAATACTAAGGAAATGAGGTTTTTTTGGAGGAGACAGCATAGTAAGAAGGACTTAGGAAGAGAAGACCATTAATTATGTTTGAATATGCTGGATTTAAGGTATCTTTGAGACATCTAAGTGGACATGGAGAGAAGGCACATACATTTAGGAGTCTGGAACTCAGGGCTAGAAAAATGCATCTCAGAGCCAACAGTGTATAAAAGGTAAGTGAAGCTATAAGCAAAAACGAGATCATTTAAGTGAAAGATAATACAGATAAAAGAAATAAAGACTTAAGGAATGTGTACAATTAATGTCCAAAAGCCAAAGAGGTAGGAAAAAAGCAAAAAGTGTTACCATAAATTCCAAGAGAAGAATATTTCAAGGAATAATCAGTGTTCAATAACGTAGAAAATGTCAAGATGAAGACTGAAAGTATCAATTTAATTAATAACACAGAAGTCATGATGGAAGTAGAGACTATCTGGATTGGTGTGTTTTAAGGGTTAATGGTGGGGAAGAAATACAGACCTGGGAGTCTCGAAACCCACTTTGGGCAGGTGAATGGCAAGAGGAAGAAGGAGGTTAGGGGGCAGATGAAGGAACATGGTTGCAGGGAGAGGCAGAATTGAGGAGGGTTCACTTTGTATTTCAAAAGGTAAGACATAAGCATGTTTAAATGTCAAGGCAGGGATCCCTGGGTGGCGCAGTGGTTTGGCGCCTGCCTTTGGCCCAGGGCGCGATCCTGGAGACCCGGGATCGAATCCCATGTCGGGCTCCCGGTGCATGGAGCCTGCTTCTCCCTCTGCCTGTGTCTCTCTGCCTCTCTCTCTCTCACTGTGTGCCTATCATAAATAAATAAAAATTAAAAAAAAAAATGTCAAGGCAAACGTGTCACAGAAGAGGAAGAAGATAAATTGTGAGGAAAAAAGAGACAAGAGTAAGAAGTTTCTGAAAAGGCGAGAGTTGAAAATCCAAAGCATAGGCAGGAAGGGAAAATGCTTCCTGATAGGAGGGACAGGCAGTTGTGATGACAGGTACCATTTTTCTCTTTGAAGGAGGAAATGGAATTATTAGAGACAGGGAGATTAGTAAAGTCATTTCCAAGGGGAGGAGAATGGGGGACCCACAGAAACACAGTCCTGAAGGATTACCAGGCCTGTTTGATGAAGGATGATGAATATGATAAAGTTAAAAAAGTCTGTTTCCTATGCACTAATCTCTTGGCATCTCCTGACTTATTTAATCCTACCAACCCTGTGCGGTAGGTATTACCATCCCCACTTTGCAGATAAAGAAACTGAGGCAGAGAAGATAAGAATCTGGCTTTAGGTCACATATTTATTTAGTAAATGGCAGAGCCAGAGGTGGGATGGCAAGTCTGACTCCAGGACCCAAACTAATCCCTACCACTTACTATCTTTACTTCTTTCCTCCTCCTTCTTTTCTTTTTCCCTTTTCTCTTACTGACCCTAGGCTACAGGCCTGCCTGCACTTTACCACTGTCCAATTTTAGTATCTGTGCTGCTGAAGTGAGCACTCTTTGATGCTAACATCAAAGGCAAAGAAACTGTTGCTGATTCCTATGAAAGAATAATCCTAACTAGCATCCTCATTTCCAGAGTCGCTGCACAACTTGCCAGTTTTCTACCATACGACTAAAAAAATAATAAAAAAAAACTGAGATATTTACATACCACAACATTCACTCATTTTAAGCGTACCAGTTATTTGTAAATGTACCAAGCATCACCACAATCCAGTTTTAGAACATTTTCATCATTTTAATAGAATCCCTTGTGCTCATTTATAGCTAATCCACACTCCTACTCATATCCCTGGCTTGACTTACTGTCTTTATAAATTTGACTTTTCAAGACATTTCTTATACATGACATATGTGGACTTAGATGTCTGTTTTCTCTTACTTAGCACACTGTTTTTGAGCTTGACCCATGCTACAGTATGCATCACCAATCTGTTCCTTTTTATTGCAGAACAGTGTTTGGTTGTAAAGATATATATACCACATTGTGTTTAATCATTCACCTGTTGATACACATTTGCATGGTTTCTTCTTTGGGGGCTACTATGAGTAATACTTCTATGAACATTCAAGTTAAAGTCTTCATGTGAACATATGTTTTCACTTCTCTTGGAGAGGCTCCCTGAAGTGGAACTGCTGCATCACATGGTAACTCTATGTTTAATATCCTTAACTGCGAGACTGTTTTCCAAGGCGATGTACATTTTACATTCCCAGTAGCAACGTATGGTAGCTTTTATTTATCCACATCCTTCAGGGCTTATTATCTGTCTTTATGATCATAGCCATCCTAATGGGTGTAAAGTAGTATCTCACTGTGACTCTGATTTTGATTTCCTGAATGACTAATGATGGTGAGCATATTTTCATTTGCTTACCAGTCCTTCCTGTATATTTTCTGGTGAAATGTCTATTCAAATCTTTTGCCCATTTTTAAATTGAGCTGTTTCCTTATTAATGAGTTGCAAAAGTACTTTGCATATGATTTTAATAAATATTTCCACTGGCTTCTTTTAAAAAAAAGATTTATTTACTTATTTGTCTCAAATAAGAGACATGCATGTATGTGTGCACACAAGACAGTGAGAGTGGGAGGAGGGGCAGAGGGAGATAACCTCCAGCAGACTTCCTGCTGAGAGTGGACCAACACAGGACTCCATCTCAGGACGTAAGCTAAAATGAAGAGTCAGATGCTTAACTGACTGAGCCACTTGGCTCTCTCACTGGCTCTTTACAACCAGGCTACAGTTCTCACAACTTCTATCTTTTTGATCTCCCCAAATGTATTTGCTTGTGAGTGAATAACCTACCTTTTCTGAAAAGATACACAAGAAAGTGGTAGAACTGGTTGCCTCACATATCTTTTTGTGATTTTTGATATTTGAATCATGTGCAATAATCACATCACTTGAATTACGTACTACATCTAGAGTTGTCAACATGTAGGACAAAGCACTATGCTTCATGCTGAAGAAATTATTTTACAGCTATCTTTTCTTGTCTACACTGTATATATAAACTAATTTATGAGTGTCCAAATCCTGGTTTTCTCCATTTTCCAGCCTCTCCCACTTAGCTATATGAGCTAAACAACAATAATAAAGAAACTTTGAAAAGCAAATTTAAGAAAACGGTTTTTGTTCTTTCTTAAATGTAACATGGTACCTTCCTTTAATCTACATTTGCTGAACACACAGACTAAATGTAACCACTGTAGGCTATGACTAACCTAATCATTTTCATAACAAAAGAAAGTAAGAAGACACTGCATCACGACGGTGGACAGCTGGTCCCAGATCCAATGACATGAATAAAAAGTTTTGAATAAATACAAAAAACACGAACAAGTCTCCACCTGCAAAAGACTTAGAACCACGCTGGAAAATAAGGCTGGCAATTTACAAATGACAATTTCTTAGGGCTTTCCACAGGTCAGAAAGTTGGTGGTAAACTGGAAATACTGGCAGGGAGTATGTCATAGTGGGGAAATGATAACAGAAGGCTTGTGTAACAATATTAATAGCAAACAAAATGAAATTCAAAGTGAAGAGCATTAAATGTAATAGTGAAAGCTATTTCATGCAAATAAAAGATTCAATCAACCAGAAAAAATACATATGAATATTCATTCCGAAATATAGAAGAACCTGTTAGATGTAGACAACCAGGATATAAGAAATAATCAGGATATTAGAAAGACAGAGAAAAAAAAAAACTGTAACTAAAGAAACGAGAAAAACAACAGCAGCAAAAACTCAGAGTAGAAAATATAAGAGAAAATATAAAATGTAGTGCTGCTCAATAAAAACAGAAGCCTGCCTCTTTAAAAATAGTTTAAAAAATAGAGTGTAGTAAGCTTAATCAAGGGGAAAAAAGATAAACTAAACTGGAAAGCCAAAGGGGTAGCAACACCCAGAATACTGCCTGCCATACAACAGTAGAGTGAAATGGACAAAGAAGCAGAGATACGGTTCTCTTTTCCCCAGAACCCAGTCCTTAAGAATCAACATTGCAGAATTGGTATTCTTACTTCCCAGCTTCCAGTTGTTATTTATACAGCTTAAGACATTTACATTCCTGTTTTGCTGGTTTTTTTTGATTCCGTTTCCTTTTTTAGAATGTTTTAGGGCTTTCCTTTTATTTCTAGTGAAATGATAACTGTATCATGATGTGCCTGCTGTGGGACTATTTTCATTGGTGGTATTGGATACTTAAGAGACCATTTTATTTGGAAAACTATGCCTCTCGATTCTAGGGTATTTTATTTGTGACATTTCCTCTCTCTAGCTCTTCCATTCTTCTTCTCGAACTCCGTTTTATTTGGACAGTGAACCTTCCAGGAATGATTCTCTGATTTTCTGTTTTTCTGTTTTCCATCTCTTATCTTTCTGTTCCATTTTCTGAGAAATGTATCTTCTAACCTGAGTTTTCATTTCCGCTACCACACTTTTAATTCCCAAGAACGCTTTCTTGAATTTTCTGAATGTTTTGCATACCATTGTTTCCTTCCACTATGGATGCCATCTCTTTATCTGAGAATATTAATGTTAGTTTTAGGTTTTAAAGTGTTCTTCTCTCTGCAGAGTATCTTTTTCCATTATATCTTTCTTATTAGGAAATTTCTTAAAATACCTGGTAGTCTTTAGCTGTCCATCCCTACTTCACAACAGGCCGGCTGCCTATGAAAAGGTTAAGCGACACTCTATGCATGAGGGATGAAGACTGGCAACTAAGGCTGTTGTATGGGGTGGTCCCAGCTGGGTTATTTTATTGAGGGACCCTCCAATGTCAGTACCTTTAGATCTGTTTTCTTGGGTTAGTCACATTTCCTAGAGAAGTTGCTTCTAGGAACTTTCCTGTATTATAAGTCTAGATGCCAGTGAGGGTTTTGGCATCCAATGAGTAAATTTTTACTTATTTCAGTTTTTAGTATGATACCCCAACTTCAGTTACACTAGGGTTACCCCTATCTAAAGACCCTTTCTTTTTACCCTTTCTAGAAGACTCTCATTTTTTGCTGGGATTAGAAAGACGTTACCTGGCTACGAAGAATTCAAGACAGCCTCTGGAAGCTCCACCTGCTTCTTGACAAATTTTCAATCATCCTCTTATTAAATTTTAGTCCTCACATCCAGAGGTGCTTATTTTGGAAGGTATTAGGACTCCATGGTATAAAATGAGTTGCTTCATGGCTTCCTACTGCTGACTACAGGGTTAATCCACTATCATATGCTAAAACAGTGCATCCATTTACCTGCTGTCCACCTTCCCCAATTTTATTATGTCACCTCTCCTGTCTTTGTGTCTTTTTCATTTTATCCTTTTACTGTAATTTTAATGAGGATTGTAAAGCAATCCTCATTAAGTTTGTATGATCAGTTTTAATCATGAAATGCATACAGGTAATAGCTTATTTCCTAGTTGATAATAGCCAAAGATTCTATGTAATCTGATCACTGAAGTAAAGTATCTATTTATGGCTCTATAAATTTTAATTGAGTAGGAGTTATTAAAAGATCAATATAATCAAGCTTTTTGATAATTCATTTAATTTCATGGAAAAACTTAGGAAGTGTCTCAGTTCCCTATAAGAACATCTATATTTCAATGATACCACATTAATTATACATATTTTCTTTTCTTAGAATAACTATATGTATATAACTATACGTATATACAACAACAACAAAAAGAACACTCAATTTACTAACCTCTGCTTCTGTTGCTTGGGACTGTAAAAGCTGTCGTATACGAAGTATGTCCTTCTCTATTTGTTGAATTCTGGTTACTCTTCGCTAAAAGAAAGTAAGTGACCAAATTAGATCTACTTTTATTAAAAACATTAGTGTAAATAGTCTTACTATGGCTATCATTTAACAGCTTAGGGTTATGCTAAATCATTTTTAGAAGTTAGATATGTATATATGTTCACACACTGATGACATATCGGTACAGTTCAGTTTTTTAATACTCATAATTCCATATAACAGTTTAGAAAAACTGCACCAATAAAAGTCACATATCAAATTGCATGATGCATGTGGTACAAAAATTGGTATTTAAGTTATCCTCAAAAAATAGTTCAACAAAGAGAAAAGTATACCTAAATTTGATCTTTATACTAATCCAAATGCCAGTATAATGTAATAGATTAATGGAAAGCATAGTATACAAAGGGAAAGAGCATCTGATTTGTTTTAGTAAACATCAGGGTTTAAACTATAGGATTAACCTGTCCAAGAGTTACTCCTATTACAAGACAGTAGTAGTATCTTTCAGATGTAGCTTTCCCAAATACCTTCTACAGTGAAACATTATTTTGATTCCCAACACTAGGATCAGAAAGCTGTTAGCTTATGCTTTCCCACTATCCTAACACTATTAAGTGAACACAAAGCACTTACTATATAGATGGAGCAGCATGGAATTGAAACTGTGGGAAAAGTGTTTTTACAAAAGGCTAGATTTTGGGATGCCTGGTTGGTTAGCCTTCAACTGGAGGTCAGTTAAGCCTCCAACCCTTGACTTCAGCTCAGATCATGATCTCAGGCTCATGAGATTGAAACCTACATTGGGTTCTGGGCTCAGTGGCTCCCTGGAGAGCCTGCTTAAAATTCTCTCTCTCCCTCTGCCCCTCCCCCACCCCTGTTCTCATGCTCTCTGTAAAAAAAATTTAAAAAAAGCTAGATTTTGCTTTAATTTAATGAGCACAAGTGGAAGTAAGAAAAATCAAATCATTTGTATTTGAAAACCTTGCAAACTCAAATTATTTTAATTACCTCCATGACAACGAATACATAGCTTTTAGAAACAAGTAGTAATTCTACAGTAGACATCTTAACATCAAGGCATCAGAAATTATAAGAATAATTGTTTTGATGGGGGGGAATGTGTTAGAGGCTACATGGAGTCATTTCTGAACTATTTCTAATTATGTGTTCCATCAACAAAAGATGCCTGAGTGTGTATATACCAATAGATAAATACTAGAAGTACGGAAAAAGTTAATAGTTAAAAAACTTACATATAAAATTTACTCACTGATCATATCTAGTTTTGCTTAAATACAATGTCCCTTTGATTTTATTATCCAGGAAAAACACTTATTGCTACTATTACCCAATGTTACAATAAGCAACCACAAGAAAAACTCAAAAAACAGCCTCCAAACTAAGTCCTTCCTTCCCCTCTCCCTTTCCCCATAATAGAACTATGCTGATTATGTATTGTGATTATGAAAATAGTGAACTTAATGTAAATAATATTCTCTAACTAACAAAACTTTCCACATCTAATTTACTCATGAAAACATGCTGAAGGAGAAATGCCCCTATTTTTGGTAGTTTTCCAAAGATACTGAGACGATGACTGAACACCTCTACAACCAGATGATACACATTTTCTGGCTTTATATGAAACAAAGCTTTACACAATTAGCTTTATACTACTTGTTTTTCCCTTTCTCTATCTAACAAGTGCCCCTCCACCAATAAAATCTTTTGTTAAATTTTTAATTTTAATTTCAGGATAGGACACATACAGTGCTGTATTAGTTTCAGGTGTATAATACAGTAGTTCTACACACTGCTCAGTCCACATCATTATAAGTACACTCCTTAATCCCTATTACTTATTTTACTCATCGCCCCCCACCCCCCGACCCCCGCCTCTGGTAACCATCAGTTTGTTCTCTATAGTTAAGAGTCTGTTCCTTGGTTTGTCTCTTTTTTTCCCTTTGTTCATTTGTTTCTTAAACTCCACATGTGAATGAAGTCATATGACATTTGTCTTTCTCTGAATTATTTCATTTAGCATTATACTCTATCTCCAACCAAGTCACTGAAAATGGTTGGATTTCATTTTTTTTTTTAGGGATAAGTAATATTCTACTGTATATATATATATATATATATATATATATATATATATATACACACATGCACACTCTTTATCCATTTAGTGTTGGTAGACACTTGAGCTGTTTCTTTCATTTGGCTATTATAAACAGTGTTGCAAGAAACACAGTGAGGCACATTTTTAAATTAGTGTTTTCATATCCTTTGGGTAAATATCCAGTAGTGCAATTACTTGATTGTAGGGTAATTCTGTATTTAGCTTTATGAGGAAGCTCCATACTGTCTTCCACAGTGGCTGCACCAGTCTGAATTACTACCAACAGTGCAAGAGGGTTCGTTTTCTCCATATCCTCACCAACACTTGTTTCTCATGTTTCTGATTTCAGCCATTCTGATAAGTGTGACATGCAATCTCACTGTGGTTTTGATTTGCATTTCCCTGATGATGAGTGATGATGTGCATCTTTTCATGTGTCTGTTGGCCATCTGGATGTCTTCTGTGGTGAAACGTCTGTTCGTGTCTTCTGACCATTTTTTCATTGGATTATCTGGTTTTTGGGTGTTGAGTTGTATAAGTTCTTTATGTATTTTGGATATTGACCCTTTATCAGATATGTCATGTGCAAATATACTTTCTCATTCAGTCGGCTTTTAGTTTTGTTGTCTCCTTTGCTGTGCAGAAGCTTTTTGTTTTGATATAGTCCCAATCGTTTATTTTTGCTTGTTTCCCTTGCTTCAGGGGACCTATCTTGAAAAAAAAGTTGCTACAGTCCATATCTGAGAGATTACTGCCCATGCTCTTTTCTAGGATTTTTATTTATGGTTTCAAGTCTCACACTTAGGTCTTTAATCCATTTTGAATTCATTTTGTGCATGGTCTAAGAAAGTGGTCCAATCTTTTGCATGCTGCTGTCCAGTTTTTTCAACACTATTTGATGAAGAGACTCTCTTTTATCCCCATTGCATTTCTTGCCTCTTTTGTTGAAGATTAATTGACCATATAATTGTGGGTTTGTTTCTGGGCTTTCTATACTGTTCCATCTGATCTATGTGTCTGTCTTTGTGCCAGTTCCATACTGTTTTGATTTCTACAGCTTTGTAGTAACTTGAAATCTGGAATTATGATACTTTCAGCTTTGTCTATTTTTTTACAAGACTGTTTTAGGTATTTGGGTCTTTTGTGGTTTCATATACATTTTAGGATTGTTTGTTCTAGTTCTGTGAAAAATGCTATTGGTATTTGGATTGCATTAAATGTGTTACATTGCTTCGGGTAGTGAAGATATCTTAATATTTGTTCTCCCAATCCATGAGCATGGAATGTCTTCCCATTTCTTTGTGTCATCTTCAGTCTCTTTTCATCAGTGTTTTAGGTCTTTCACCTCCTTGGTTAGGTTTATTCCTAAGTATTTTATTATTTTTGCTGCAGTTGTAAATGGGATTGCTTTCTTAACTTCTCTGTTACTTCATTATCGATGTATTGAAATGCAAAAGGTTTTTATGCAGTGATTTTGTATCCTAGGATCTTACTGAATTTGTCAATTCTAGTAGTTTTTTGGTGGAGTCTCCAGGGTTTTCTATATAGTGTCATGTAATCTGCAAATGATGAAAATTTTACTTCTTCCTTACCAATCTGGATGCCTTTTATTCTTTTTTCTTATCTGATTGCTGTGGCTAGGACTTCCAGTATTATGTTAATAAAAGTGAGAGTGGATATCCTTGCCATGTTTTTCAACTTAGGGAAAAAGTTCTCAGTTTTTTCCCATTGAGGATGATGTTAACTCTGGGTTTTTCATATAAGGCTTTTATTATGTTGAGGTATGTTCCGTCGAGACCTACTTTGTGAAGGGTTTTTACCCTTTCTCTTATTAATGTGATGCATCATGTTTATTGATTTGCAAATATCCAACCACCCTTGCACCCTGGAAATAATCCCCCTTGATGGTGATGAGTGATTTTTAAAATGTATTGTTGGATTCAGCTTGCTAATATTATGTTGGGGTAATGCATGAATTTAGAAGTTTTCTCTCCCCCTTTTTTTTTTATTTTTGGGAAGTTTGAGAAGAATAGGTATTAACTCTTCTTTAAATGTTTGGTAGAATTCTGCTGTGAAGTCATCTAGTCCGGACGTGCTTGCTGGCAGTCTTTTGATTACTAATTCAATTTCTGGTCTGTTCCAATTTTCTGTTTCTTCCTGATTCAATCTGGAAGGTTCTTATTTCTAAGAATTTATTCATTTCTTCTAGGTTGTCCAATTTGTTGGCATATAATTTTTTTATAACACCCTTATAATCCTGTGATATCATTTGTTATTTCTTCTCTTTCATTTCTGATTTTGAGTCCTCTTTGAGTCTCACTAAAGGCTTATGAAGCCTTTAGTTTGTTGATCTTTTCAAAGAACCAGCTCCTGGTTTCATTGATATGTTCTATTGGTTTTTTTAAGTTTCTATTTTGTTTATTTTTGCTCTAATTTTTATTATTTCCTTCCTTCTACCAGTTTTGGGTTTTGTTTGTTCTTCTGTTTCAGCTCCTGTAAGTGAAAAGCTAGATTTTTTGATTTGAGATTTTCATATTTCTTGAAGTAGGCTTGTATTGCTATAAACTTCCCTTTTAGAATAGCTTTTGCTGAATCTCAAAGATTTCAGACCATTGTATTTTCATTTTTATTTGTCTCCATGTATTTTTTTGATTTCCTCTTTGATTTCTTGGTTGACTCCATACATTGTTTGGTAGCATGTTATTTAGCCTCAGATATCTGTGGTCTTTCCAGATTTTTTCTTTTTTTTTTTTAACTTATTTACAATAGTCATACAGAGAGAGAGAGAGAGAGAGAGAGAGGCAGAGACATAGGCAGAGGGAGAAGCAGGCTCCATGCACCGGGAGCCCGACGTGGGATTCGATCCCGGGTCTCCAGGACTGCGCCCTGGGCCAAAGGCAGG